CCGTCTGTCAGAGCTCAGGGCAGACAATCAAGGCCTGCACATGTTTCCAGACCCCCTGGAGACCAACAATGGTTCGTGTGTGCACCCGTGTGCGCACATATATGTGTTGGGTCGGTGGGGATGGGGAAGGGAAGGGTCAGGCGTTTCCCCATGGCCTGCACTAAGGGTGGATTAGGAAAAGGTAGTGGAGTGATTCGACATGCACAAGGAAATCCAATTTACAAAACACCAGCCAGCTACGGAATCCCAGGAAGAAATCGCCCAGGGGAGAGGGGTCGGGGGAGAGGGGAGAGCAGACAGCTGCCCCTCTCAAAACTCTCAGAAGGCCAGTGACTAAACACAACACGAAAGCACCTGTGTGCCTGTTTGACTTTAACAAGATAAGAACGGGAGGAAAGCAGGCAATGAGCCTCCACTTGCTCATTTCTAGTTTTTATCATCAAGGCCTTTATCTGACGGTGAGAATTAAAATCTAACTCTTGAGAGACATTTAGCTGAGAAGTTGTAGGAAAGAAATTAAACAATAAATATATTTAATGTGGAAGGATAAGCATTGTAGTGTAATGTTTATTAGATAAATCACATTATGTTTATAATTATATGTAGCACACCTCACACATGGATAAAAGTAATTTGCAGGTGCAACTTTATAGACAACACTTAAAATTAAGGCCATTTCTTTAGGAATGAATCTGTGTGCCCTTGTCCCAGGAGGGGTGTGCATGGCCCCCGGGACGGGGCCTCCCACCGTGGGGTTTTGGGGTGGATCCCAGAACGAGGTCTGCAGGGCCGGGTTTGTGTGGGCCCCAGGACAAGGCCTCCCACCGTGGGGTTTGGGTGGATCCCCAGACAAGGCCCGTGGGGTGGGATTTGGGGGGATCGGGACGGGGCCCGTGGGGTGGGGTCTGGGTGGATCCGGGACGAGGCCCGTGGGGTGGGGTCTGGGTGGATCCGGGACGAGGCCCGTGGGGTGGGGTCTGGGTGGATGCGGGACGGGCCTGTAGGGTGGGGTTTGGGTGGATCCGGGACGAGGCCCGTGGGGTGGGGTCTGGGTGGATCAGGACGAGGCCCGTGGGGTGGGGTTCGGGTGGATGCGGGACGAGGCCTGCTGGTCCTGGCAGCACCCGGCGCACGCACTCACCACGTCCTTGCGGGACAGCACCTCCAGCATGTTGCTGAGCAGCTGGCAGCAGGCCTCCAGGTCCTCCTGCCGCTCCAGGTGGTACTTGAGCTGGTCCGTCATCATGGGCAGCAGGAGCTCCCTGCAGTCTGCGGGGACAGGGGTGCGGTCAGCAGGGCCACACGATGCACCGGGGCTGCCGGGGCTCGTTCCCGGCACATGGACTCCTCTCAAGGACGTCCCACGTCAAGGACGTCCCACGTACACTCCGCCCACCGGCGACGTCTGGGGACGTCCGGCGACCGGACGAGGAGGAACCCCTTCTATTGCTCCGTGACTGACTCATTCACACACCCAGCTCGCAGGTGCATGAACGCACACGGGAGGCTCCGTGCCACCACACAGCATCACAAACA